ATTTTATATTCTGCATTTGTCACTTAACATTACAACATAAGCATTGATTCTTATTACAAATTCTTAATCAACATGTGTGTTTTTTTTTTTAATTTGGGCAAGAAAGGAAAAGAGAATATAAAGATAATACACAGTGCAACAAACAATGCTGATGCTACATTTATTTATTTATTTATTTTTAATCCTCACTTGAGGACATTTTTCCATTTTTTGTTCAGATAGAGTGGGAGGGAGAGAGATAGAGAGATAAAGAGAGAGAAACATCGACGTGAAAGGGACACATTGAGTGGCTGCCTCCCACATAACCAACCAGGGCGGGGGACAAACTGCAACCGAAGTATGTGCCTCTAGCGGGAACCGAACCCGTGTGTCTCTGGACCGCAGGCCGACGCTCCAACTGCTGAGCCAAACCAGCCAGGGCTATTTATTTATTTTTGAGTCAGTGCCATTTTATTTTTTTTATTGAGGTACAACTGACATAACATATACGTTTTAGGTGTTTAACATGATTCGATACTTGTGTATTTACAAAATTTATCACCACACTATATCTAGTTAATATCCGTCACTATACATAGTTATAGAATGTTTATTTCTTGTGTTGAGAACTTTTAAGATCTATTCTCTTACAACTTTCAAATATGCAATACAGTATTATTATTATTTCCATGCTATACATTACATCCCATGACATTTATTTTATAACTGAAAGTTTGCACCTTTTGACTACTTTTACCCATTTGCCACCCTCACCCCTGCCTCTGGCAACTACCAATCTGTTCTCTGTTATCTGTAAGCTTGTTTTGTTCTGTTTTAAGTTCCACATACAAGTGATATCATACAGTATTTGTTTTTCTCTGAATTATTTCATTTAGCATAATGCCCTCAAGGTCTACCCATGTTGTCACAAATAGTGAGATTTTATTCTTTTTTATGGCTGAGTAATATTCCATTATATATATATAAATGTGTGTGTGTATGTATATACATATATATGTACACACACACATATTAATTTGTATATAGGGTGTCCAAAAAGTATATACACACTTTGAATAATTATCAAGTCAGTGTTTATTAAAATACATTTCATTTTCAAAATGTAATAGGATCTACAGTCATTGTGTATACATTTTTGGGGGACACCTTGTATATACCACAATTTCTTTATCCATTCATTCATGAACACTTAATTTGTTTCCATATCTTGGCTACTATAAATTATGGTGCATGTTCTTTGAGTTAGTGTGTTTGTTTGTTTGGATAAATACCCAAAGTGGAATTGCTGGATCGTATGGCAGTTCTATTTTTAATTTTTTAAGGAACTTCCATACTGTTTTCCATAGTGGCTACACCAATTTATATTCCCACCAACAGTGCATAAGGGCCAATACTTGTTATTTCCTGTCTTTTTTATAATAGCCATTCTAACAGGTGTGATGTGGTATCTCATAGTGGTTTTAATTTGTATTTCCTTCATGAAGAGTGATGTTGAATATCTTTTCATGTACTAGTTAGCCATCTGTATGTCTTCCTTGGAAAAAATGTTTATTGAGATCCTCAACATCGTTTTCAGTGACTGCTTAAAATCCATTTTTTTGGGTTAATTATTTATTTCACTATTCGTCTTCTTATGGGTATTCGGGTTATTTTCAATGTTTATTAAAATAACTGCAATAACTGTCTCTTTGCAAAAGCTTTTTATTCACTTCACGTTGTATCTTTAGGATATTTTCTCCAAAGTGGAACTGCTATGTCAGAGAATATGGATTTTTTTAATCCTCACCTGAGGATATATATATATATTTTTCTATTTATATTCAGCTAGAGAGGGAAGGAGAGAGAGGGAGAGCAAGGGGGTGGGGAGGGGGGAGAGAGAGAGAGAGAAAGAGAGAGAAACATCAACTGGTTGCCTCTGGCATGACCCCGACCAGGGCCGGGGATGAACCGCAACCAAGGTATGTGCCCTTGGCCAGAATCAAACCTGAGACTCATTGGTCCGCGGGCCAATGCGCTACCACTGAGCCAAATAGGCCAGGGGAAATATGGATGTTTTTAATCTTATATTTTCATTCTTAATTTACCCTCAAATTCTTACAGTTGAACATTCTTTTTGCAAATCCTGTAATCTAAAAAGCACTGAAAAGCGAAAGCATCTTAATATTTTACCTGATCTGAAATCATTTAGCAGTAAAACCCAAGTAGAACTGATGCAAAGTGGTTTATAGACTTTATTTTTCAGCATAGTGTGAATATTTGTTTTGCATAACTATTAATGCATTTGATTTTGGGGTACCACTTCAGAACCCACTCAGAGGGTTAGGTAATTAAGTAGTATTTATACCATACTGCCTTTTAAAAATACCAAAATGTCTTACTTATAAAATGCATCCAGGCTTAAGGGTTTCAGATGAGGATTGTAAACTTATACTAATAATGTTACAAGAATATACTGTATATGTTAACTTTAAAAATCTTAGCTGAAATTTTTACACTGGTGTTACGGGCTGAATTGTGCCCCCCAACAAATTCATGTTGTAGTCCCAACCCCCAGTACCTCAGAACATGACTGTATTTGGAGATAGTCTTCAAAGAGTTACTTAAAGCAAAATGAGGTCATTAGGGTAGGCCCTTATCCTAAATAACTGGTGTCCTTAAAAGATATTAGGGAACATACTCACAGAGGGAAGACCACACAAAGGCACAGAGAGAAGGCAGCCATCTTCAAGCCAAGTAGAGAGGCCTCAAAAGAAACCAGGCCTGAGGATAATCTATCCTCCAGAATTGTAAAATACATTTCTGTTGTTAGGCCACTCAGTGTGTGGTATTTTGTTTTGGCACCCTAGAAACTAATATAATGGTAACATATAAATTTTATAATCAACAAAATTAGTAAAGTATCTCCATTTTGCAAAAACAAAATACCAATCAACTAAACTAACCCCCCTCCCATCAAGCTTTTAAAATATGATTGGTTTTACAATTGTTGCCATTACTTTCACAAGTACACCACAGTTCTAGTCAGTCTCCTTGAAGATGCAGCCAATTGAGTAATTTAAAAACATCACAATGTCTTAGGCTTGAAAGGAATCTTAGTTGTGATAATAGTTTTAACTCCTTTATTTTACAGATGGGGAATAAAGACGTAACTAACCTGTTTTCTCATTGTATTACTAAGAAATAGAAGGCTAGGCCTTAAATCTTCTCATGTATGCTTTCATAATCATATGCATCGTGGTTTCTGCGCTTCTGAATCAAGGTTTGGGTGAGTCTCAGGAAGTGATACTTGCAAGAAGTACAGATGGCGCAGAGACCTCTGTAAATGAGGTGATACGGTTAATCAGAAAGCAGGGTTGGTGAAAGTCTAGTAGGGTATCTGAGCTCTAATGCTGGCCTGTTCATTAAAGAGAAAACCCTTTAACCAGGGCTCTAAATTCCTTGTCTTTCAAATGAAGGGGTAGGCTAGTTGATGAGAATATTTGCATAGTACTTGGAGTCCTTTAAAATATGCATTTGTATAAGAGAGTTACAAAGTGTCTGGCATTTAGTGCTAAAAATAATGTTAGTTATTTTATTATTAATCACAAAACCCCATAAATATAGATGCCATTTTGCAGATGAAGAAACTGAGAATTACAGAAATTAAGCACACAATTTCCAAGGTCCCAACAGGGAAAGTAGGCCGAGAATCCGGGACTTCTGTTTCCTTTGTCGTACATTAAGTCCCGTTTAGGTATAAGATTATTAATTTACAAGAATTTAGACTTGCTGTGAATCTAAAAGATGGGTAGAAACAGTCAAAGAGAAAAGGGAAATGTTTTAGCCGAAGTAAGCCAAGTGCGTGAAGAAAGGTTTTGAGAAGATAATGAATTTCATCTGCAGTCATTGCCAGGCGGCAGGGTTTCCGATAGGGAATGGTGTGGGAGGTAGGGAGAAGGTGTGGAAGTCCTTAATGCCAGGCTCAGTAGTCCGAGAGCCTTAGCAAAATCGTTGATGAGAGTGGTGGCACAATGTTACTAGCATTTTATTACTCATCTGATTGTGGATTATGAAACAGATTGGGCAGTTGGGGCTGGAGGTTCAGAGACCAGTTAGATGGCTGTTGCTATAGTCTAGTATGCACAAGATGAGGGCATCCAGTATGTTGAGAGTATTAATGAGATCTGAGAGGAAGGTGTTCTGTTTTTAGTCAACAGATCGCATTCAGACACATGCAAACTCGTTCTTTTCTTTTCTTTTTTTTTTTAACGGCTTATGAGTGCTTGAAAAGATAAATTTTAAAGCAACTACTGTTAGAGGTGTGGGAAGCCAAAGCAGCGCATTTGGAATTAAAACCATGGTTAGATTCCTAGCTGTTATCTTTTAATTATGTAACACAGAGGAAGTCGTCTAACCTCTTTTGGGCCTCGGTTTCATTTCCTTTCAGCTAAGGACGAATTTCCCTACTTGGTAAACCAGACAGTATTTTAAGGCCCCTGGCAATAGCGCTCCATGTCGGTTCCCATCTTCCCCCAGGCATCCTGCGGGCCGGGTCTCAGTAGCCAGGGGCGGCCGAGTCCGGGAAAGCGGTTCTGCCTGGAGACCTCACCCGGGCACTCTCGTCCCGGGCTGACCTCCGAACATCGGCCCCAACTTCCAGGCTTCCCGTGCGACGACTGAACATCCGCCACGGCGGCCGGGCAGAGAGAGGGGCTTGGGAGCGCGTGGCGGCCCCAGCTGGCCGGGATGCCGAGGGGAGGCGGGGGCCAGCGGGCGGAGCGGCGGCGGCGGCGCCCGAGGATGCAGCGCCACCCCCACGCCGCCCGCCCGCGAACTCGCCGCGGGTGCTGGGCCGCGCTGGCCGCGTTTGAAGTCTCTGGCGCGGCCACTGGTTGGCGGGCGCGGGTCACGTGCGCCCAGGCAGGAGTTTCCCCGACAGCTGGAGGCTGCGTGGGATCCGGCGGCGGCTCCGGAGCTCGGCGGTGCGGCCTTCCCCGCCCCCTCCCACCTCCCCCGCCCGCGGAAGCTTCCGCCCGGCTTATTATCCTCCTTATTGACAAACAGAGCGGCCGCGGCGGCGACTCTCGGCGTGCATCTGTAGCCAAGCCATGGGAGACAAGAAGAGCCCCACCAGGTAACAGCGCCCGGCCCCCGGGCCCGGACTGTGCGGGCGGCAGGGCCCTCGCGCCGGGCTTCGGGCGGCCGCCTCGCTCGCCACCCGGGCAGCGGAGCGAGAACGGGGGCGGCGCCGCTGCTCCGCGTGAGGGGCTGGCGCCGTCCGCCCCACAATGGAGCCGCGATGGCGGCGGCCGGAGCGGCAGCCCGGGATGTCAGAGCGGCGGCAGCGTTAGCGGCGACTGCAGCCGCGCTCGCGCCCTCCCCTTCCTGACTCCCCTCCCCCTCCGAGCCGAGCCCGGCGCGCCGGGGGCCCGCGGGGCGGGGGTCGCGGAATTGGGGCAGGGGGCGGGGCGGGGCGGGGGCGGCCGCGGGGCCGGAGCGCCGGGCGCGGCCTGCTGGTGACCCCGCGCCGCGTCGTGTCCGGGTTGTGTCCTGCAGGCCGAAGCGGCAGCCGAAGCCGTCCTCGGATGAGGGTTACTGGGACTGTAGCGTCTGCACCTTCCGGAACAGCGCCGAGGCCTTCAAGTGCATGATGTGCGATGTGCGGAAGGGCACCTCCACCCGGTGAGTCCCGGGCCTGCCCCGCGCGCCGCGGGCCGGCGGGTCGCGGCGCAGAGGACGCCCCTGCGGCTGCCGCCCCTCCCGTGACACTCGCAGACCTGGCTGGAGGAGCCAGACTGAGGTGGTGGCCGCGATAGGAACTGGGTCAGATTGGTCGCGACCCAAGCGATGTTTTGCGGTGAGGTGTAATTGAAGAGGCTGTGCCGTGTGTTGCTGCCAAGAGGGAATAAATTATTTAAGAGAGGCATTAGCTACTGCGATTTAATTCGTATCGCTAGGTGTAATGACCACCCCCCCAACACATTCCGGATATAATAATGTTGGCTGCATTGTTGTGTTAGTGTGTAGGAATCAAGGAAAAACCGTGAAGACCTCTTTAGGAGCAAAAGATGTAATTTAAACTCGTTCCTCAAAAAGAAAAGTATCTGATTATAGAATACACAATAGGTTTAACTTCCTTTTTTTATATAGAAGTCTGGAAAGGTCGGATCAAGGTTTTGTTTAATGTTTATATTTCAATTCTCTAATATTTTATAAATAGATAGTTGGAGGTGAGCCCAGTCACGGACACATTTTTACTGAAAGTATCTGAATATCTGTAGTTTGATCAAATGGCAATCTGTTAGACTATACAAATGAGATTAAATGATCTCTATTTTCAGTCTATTTTATTGTAAGCTTGCAATAATAACTGAGTCTTAAAAAAATGCTTAAGTTAATTAAGTGGTAAAGAAAATCATCCAGGAAATTCAGTCAGTGACATTTTTGATAGTGAGCACTTAGTTACAGAGTTCCTTTGCCTTTATAGGAAGGTAGCCTTTAAATTAATGCATTATAATTCTGTGATTTATAGTCTCATATTTAGATAAAATGTATTTTGATATCACAAAGTCTGTTACAGACTAAATTATCTCGAAGAGTTTAAGCATACTAATGTGATATACTGTTGTTTTAAAAAACGCTGACACAATATTGGCGTTAGATTTATATATTCAGTAGAAAATAGATTTCTAAAAATGAGATAGTCAGATTTAAAAACACCATTTAAAGCATTTTATTGAATTTTTAAAATGTAGATTCGGAAGTGGTTGGCAATAAAGCTGCTTTTGACATGTGTCTTTTTGTAAATCATAATATGCTTTTTGCATATTTCCCATTTAATTAACATTGGTTGAAATATGAGCATTTTTCATGATGTCCTTTAAAAAGCAAACTTTCAAACATCTACAAAATTTCAGGGAATGTAGCAGAACATTCTAATAAAAGAGTACTTGTTAAAATGAATGTGCTATTTTTGGACCCGTGATTTAAATATATTTGAAAAGCAGAATATCTTTATATCTTTATGTCTATATAAGGTTGGAATTGGTTTAGATTCTGTTTGTATATCTATGTTAGTACTTTGTACTTTAAAAAATGCTCAGTAGGTAATTTTCAGAAAATTTGGTTTTTGGAGGCAGGAAGTTTAAGTGGAGATGGTTGTTATAATCTTAATCTCTGGTACAATATTGTTGCTTTTTGTTGTTCCCTCTATTTTCTTGTAGCCATTAGAAAAATACTGAAACTAGAAGAGCCTGTATGTTTATTTGCAGGGACAGCAAGGAAGGGGGGAAGCTGGTGTCCTACTCCACAGCCAGTCTTGGGGTTAGAGGAACCCTGAGAAATAGAGTAGGTGGTGGCAGCTCAGAAGAGACGAAACAGGCTGAATACCTGGCACCTGGAAGAAGAAGGAATATAGTGCACAGGGAAGTTGGCCCAGGACAGAGAAGTGGGCCTAGTTTAAAAGAGGCTTGAGGCCCACATGGGGGCCCCTGACATTTTTTACCAGTACATCTGAGCCCTTGTAGATCCAATTTTTAGTGGATTACTTGAGGAGGACTCAGAGAAGCATTGTCATTTGGATTGAAACTGAAGAGGCTCTGGGCAACTCACCAGAAGTCTAAGGGACACTCTGTTCCTAAAAGTAAGTGTTCTACACTACAACCCTCTCAGCTTCTTCCTTCCTCTCTCTGAATTGTCTTTTCTCTTTTGACTTTGACCATAAATTAAGAGCTCTAATTTCTCTGTTATTTTCGTGCCTCTGTTTCTGAAAATCAGAGTGGAATCCATGTTTGGATAGAACAGTGGAGCAGGGCATTGTTAATAGGGCAGATATTGATTGCACCACAAAATATTGCCCTCTCTGGTAATGTTAGAAAACAGGATTAAAGGGCTGCAGAACACTATGGAGATGCAAAAGTTTTAGTAGTTGGAAGAAATAATTCTCTACAATTGATCTGTTAATGAGCAGTTAAGGTAATTTCAAGGATAAGGTTGGTGATTACCAAAGCAGAGTCTGGATAGCTGCAGAGCTGAAGGATGCAAATTGCTAATGACTTGTTTGCCTGGGACAGAGGGGCTTGAATCCCTTGGGGTCAGACTGGCCTTTGAACTGATTCTGTGTCAGTAGCCAAATGGGAGGCCCAAGTCTAAGCCATCTCAGATACTTGAAAACTCTTTTCTTTCTAAACCTTCAGAGAAGATAGAGTCATGGTCTCTTTTTAAAGTCTTTACTGGTGGGTTTTTTCTTTACAGAATATCTAGTTAAAAAAAAATCGATGTCAAATTCTTTGTATCGCAACAGAAAACCATTCTCTTTGGCTGTATTCTTGGTAGGTCATATATTTCTGCAGAATACAGTTTGTATAGAATGAAATGAGGTTATATTCATAGCAATATTTTAAATGAAATGTGATTTGATTGAAGTAGTTTCAAGTCCTAAATTGATAAATTATGTTCTTTAAATTTAAACCATTTCTGCCCTGGCCGGTTTGGCTCAGCGGTTAGAGCGTCGGCCTGCGGTCCGGAGAGACCCGGGTTCGGTTCCCGCTAAGGGCACGTACCTTGGTTGCAGTTTGTCCCCAGCCCTGGTTGGGTCATGTGGGTAGCAACCACTCGATGTGTCACTTTCACATCGATGCTTCTCTCTCTCTCTCTCCCTCTCTCTCTATCTGAACAAAATATCGAAAAATGTCCTCGGGTGAGGATAAAAAAACAAAATAAATTTAAACCATTTCTGTGATTGAATTTCAGTTTGGTACTTGCTGGTCTTAGTGAAAGAAACCAGCATCAAAATGAATCTTAGTAAAAAGAACACTAGGTGTTATACTGGGAGTCTGGTGACTAGGGCTCTTACCGCATTTTAGCCACTTCAATACCCAGCATTCAGCAATGTTTATTGAACTTCTTATTTTATATGAGGGCTACAGTGATGAACAAAATAGATGTTTCTTTTGTAAAATTTTATCAAATCAGAAACACTTTGGATTGTACCAAATTCTGTATATGAGGTAGTATTATTAAATCTTTCCTTTATGTGTGAGCTGAAGAAGTGAAATTTTCTTGTTTAAAGAAAAATAGTGTTTCTAACTGAACAGTGTTATGATTAGGATCTGACTGTTGGTAAAAAGAATGAATTCTTCTATAAAATGGAATTAAATTATATAAAATTAACATTTTGAAGAAACCTTAAACCAGTTATCATCTGATAAAAACTAGTTCAATATCACTGTTGTCTTTTCATACTTGCTTCCTATCTTGTAATTTGAAGTATGGCAGATTCTCCTAGTTTTTGATGTGGGAATGGGAGAAAAAAACTGAGGACCATCTAAGTCAGTTCGTTTTTCAGATATGCAGAGTTCCTGAGCCTCCCTTACCTGTCTGAGGAGCCTTTCCAGCTGCCACACAGTTGTTCAGAGACTCCTTATTCTAGGAGGTTTGTTTGTTTTCCTCCCGATATCTTGGTTTAGAGTAGTTATATGGGTTCAGTGTTTACAGAGAAGTTTTGAAAATGATTGTGTTTGGATAGGCTAGAGTAGTGGTTTTCAAAATGTAATCTGAGGAACTCTATAGAGTTTCCTTTTAGGATCCTTTAAGGCAGCCTGTGAGGCCCAAACTATTTTCATAATCCATACTAAGATGTTATTTGCCTTTTTCACTGTGTTGACACTTGCAGTGGTGGTGGAGAGGCAATGGTGGGTAAAACTGCTGGCCCCTTAGCATGAATCAAAGTAGTGGCACCAAATTGTTACCTTCATCGTAATCTTCACCACCATGCACATGCAATAACCATAATGTCAGTTTCACTTAATATCTTTGATGAAGCAATAAAAGTTACTAATTTTATTATGTTTCAGAATTTTTTTTAATATTCTGTTTTATGAACTAGGAAGCACATGTAGAGTGGTTGATTCAAGGGAAAGCATTTGTGTAGTAGTTTGAGTTGCAAGCAAAACTAGCTGCTTTTTTTTTTTTCCTTTTTGTAGAACATGATTTTACTTGAAAGAATGCCTAGAAAACTGGTTATTCAGACTCGAATATTTAGCAGATATTTTCCAAAAAATGAACACAGTGAGTTGTCACTCCAAGGAAAGCAGTTGATAGTATTTGGTTGCCAATAATAAAAACTGAGCTTTCGTCCTGGCTGGTTTGGCTCAGCGGTGAGAGCATCGGCCTGCGGACCAGAGTGTCCTCGGTTCGGTTCCCACTAAGGGCATGTACCTCAGTTGCAGTTTGTCCCTGGCCCTGTTGGGGTCATGTGGGTGGCGACCACTTGGTGTGTCTCTCTCACGTCATTGTTTCTCTCTCCTTCCTGTTCTATCTGAAGATAAATGCAAAAAAAAGACCTCAGGTGAGGATAAAAAAAAAAAAAAAAAAATTGAGCTTTCAAGGGAAATTAGAGTTCGAAAACTAGTACCCACTACAGTGAGCCTAAGAACTTACCAATACTTTAAAGATGTATGGTAATATCAATTAATGCAATTTCTGATATTTTATCATGAATTCTGTAATATTTGGAAGATCTCATAACTCAGTGGCTCAATATTTCCCAATAACCAATACATGATGTCACAAAACTATGCATGGATATAATCCATTCAAAGTACTAAATAAGCCAGTGTGTTTAAGTACTAAATAAGCCCGCTATCATACTGACTCAGTGTGTTTTAAGGGAACACTATGGAAACTTTCTTGATGTGGTTTCAGATTTCAGAGATGTAGTTAATCTTTGAGAAACAACTACTTTTCTATGTTTTTATGTACTATCAAAGAATATCCGCAATTATCTGAAAAGAAAAAAATACTCCTCCTTTACTTCAACTACATATTTGTGAGAATCCAGATTTTCTTCATATTGTTGAACCAAAACAGCATAGTGCAACAAATTGAATGCAGTATATATGACAGTCCAGATAACTTCTGTTAAGCCAGATGTTAGAGGATTGCAAAAATATTCAAGTGCCACTCTGAATGCAAAATTATCTTTGTTATGGAAAAATACAGCTATTTTTTCCCTAAAAATGTTACTTATATCAACATGTGATGTACTTTCAGTTTTTAAATGCACTAATATATATTAAATTTTTTTTTCTGTTTTTATTTGTAATGGAGTATTTTATTTCTTGACAGATAAGATATACATAAACAAAAGTTCTTTTAACTTTTGAGAGTGTAAAGAGATCCTGAGGCCAAAAAAGTTTATGAACTACTTGGTCTAGAGTTTTATTAACTTGGATTTCTACATAAAACAGATTTACTTCAGCAGTATTGTTTTCCTTTCCTTTATTGAGTAAGATCTCTCTGTGACCTCGTTAAACTTTGTGGCTTAATCGCAGCCTTCATTATATGTCACCTTTTTCCTAATATGTCTCTGAAACCAATTTCTGCCCACCCAAACTTGGCTTCTTCTCTTTGATTGTAGCACAGACTTTCTGGAACCTAAGCTAGAAACTATTACTGACTTACCTTTGAAAACTGTAATTATGTTGGTCCCTGTATTAAGAAAAAAATTTGAGATTCTCTGGTGACTCCTGAATAAAGGTCGAGCTCCTGAGAATGGTTATCCAGGCAATAATAATTTATCCCTAAACTACTTTCCTAGCTTCATTTTCTGCTGTGTATCCCAACCAATCCTATGCTGCATCAGCATTGAAGTATTTTGATCAGATGGTACATCTTAAGAGAAACCCTCTGGGATTACCCCTGTGCCGCACCCCCCCCCCCCCCATCATACTGACTCAATCTGTCTATATGTATATATGATAATTGTTTCTGGAGAATCACCATATTGTAGCATCATTGTCTAGATGTTTATCTGCTGGATCAGGCAGGGACTGTTTTACTCATTTTGGTATCCGCAGAAGCTAGTAAAATACCTGGAACATTGTAGACATTTAAACTTTTTCAATTAATGTTTTTTAAAATTTGACTATTGAGCTCTGGCTGGTTTGGCTCAGCAGTTAGAGCATCGGCCTGTGGTCCAGAGAGACCCAGGTTTGGGTCCTGCTAAGGGCATGTACCTCGGTTGCAGTTTGTCCCCGGTCCTGGTTGGGTTGTGTGGGTGGCAGCCACTCAATGGTTTATTAGTTTCATGTTTTGCATTATTTCAAAGATGATATTATACTTAAGTACCTTAGCATTTTTAAGATACAACTTTGGAGCGTTTTATGTTTATTATTTTTATTATCTCATTTACCACCACTTATTTAAGTCTTGTTATCCAGACTATTGAAATTTATATAGTACAGCTAAAAATGAGAAGTAAACTACTGAAGTCATTAAAGAGTACAGCATATTATGAGGTATATTTTATTTCTCAACTGCGTTATAAGTTCCCTGTTGAATGACTTTTTAAAACCTGTAGCATCCCCTGGAATTCTTATTTAAAGTCAGCCTTACCTTTTTATTTAAAAAATATTTTTAATTTATTTTGAGAGGGGGGATGGGAAAGGACAGGGAGAGAAAGAGAAACATGAACTGGCTCCCACTTGCATGCCCCTGACCAGAGATGAAGCTGGAAACCTGAGCATGTGCCCTGACCAGGAACGGAACCGGCAATCCTTTGGCGCTTGGTATAGTGCCCAATCAACTGAGCCACACTGGCCAGGGCAGTTGAATGACTTTTAAAGTTAAAAAGTTGACTCTGAGTGTCTATCAAAAAATAAAATATACTAAAATAAATAGAGATCTGTGGTATTTGAGATTGTTTAATTGAAAATAATTTGGAATTCAAATAATGCATTTGTTTGAGTTGTACTCAGTTAATGGAACAAATTAAATTTAATTATAATTAAAATTGAACGAGTCTTTACTTTCTGATTGAGGTAGTATTGTTTTATCTATGAACTTACTGCTTTTAAAGAGATAAATTATACAAATCAGCAGACACCTAACAACTCTAGAAATTAGACAGACATTAAGAAAATAATGGAATTTTCCTTCATCTTGTACTTCTTGACTACTTTTAATTGTCCAGTCAGGCTAACAGTATTAGTCGCTGATACCTTTCTAGAATTTCGTTATCATTTTGCCTGTCTAGTTAACTGTTCTTAAAGACCTAACTCATGTGTCTATTTTCTTTGATATTCTCCTAGGCCCATCGCAACCTTGTCTTCTCTTGTGTGTCTTTTGTGCATACCTCTGATTGTGTTCTCCATCTAGCTTTAGCATTCCTCATTAATCCAGTGCTGATTTGTGCCTTCTCAGGAAGCTAGTATTCTTTCTCAGAAGACAAACTGATCAGAGAGGGGAGGGTGGCTCTTTGGTTGATGCTATGGGAGGAACTTGTTCTCTTTCTAGAATCTAAATAGTCCCTCAAAATCAATTTGTGATGTTTACCTTTATTATATAATTTAGCATATTATAGTTCTGTTTTATGTATGCATTTACTCCTTATGCTATCAGTTTCTAAGGGAAATATGAGTTTTTCATTATCTTTTTTGAAAATGCTTGACAAAGTGCCCGGGGAGTAATACGTGTTCAGTAAAGGTTTATTAAAAGTGGAATATAGGTATTGGAGAGGAAAATTTATTTATTATTTCTTAAAAATAAGCTTTGAAAAAGTTGGAATTCTGATACAGGCTATATAAGTCATGATTTGGAAACTAACCCTCCTGTATACATGTGTGAATTATCAGAAGTAAATGGAAGAGAACAAAATTCTAGAATTCGGTAAATGCTTATTGTACACGTACCATATGCCAGGAATTATGCTAAGACTATAGAATTGTGGGTGAGACCGAGTTCCAGCTTTTTGAGAGTTTGAATTCTAGCAAAGAAGATAATATAACTAAGGAGTGAACAGAAGGAATTTATAATTAATTTTCCAACATAGTCCTAATTTTTGGAGAAGTCCTATGCTCAAATTAAGTATGAAATCAGTTATTGCTGTGACCATTATTAGTAAACCACTTTTGATAAAATGTACTTTAACATCATGGCCAATTTCTTATTTGATGTATTACTTTTTTCCTAAGAAATTTCAGCCCAATGAAGCTGCCACTCCATTGCTGGGTAAATCCTTCTCTTTCTATACCTGTATATAGGTATGTGTGTGTAGATGTGTATGTTTTTAAAAGAAACTACTGTTTTTAAAATAATTGTTGTTATATAATTGAAGATTTCAGAAGACTAAAATGATTACTTGCCTATGACAAATTTACATAGGATGTTGTATAGACTTAAATTTATATATATTTAGTATTTATTCCAGAAACCACCTTTTTTGAGAAGAAAATAGTTTTATAATAGAATTGCATTATTGAATTTAATGTGTGTTTCTTCAGCTATCATATGTATTGACAATGTTATTCAGGTGTTTTTTCTTTAAAAGCATTGTTGAAAAGCTTTAATGAATTAATTTCTGTAAAGCTCTTTACACAGTGGCTTACACATAGTAAATGCTCACTAAATGGTAGCCATTACTGTTAAGTATGCATTTGAAAGAGGATAATTTATGGCCCTGGCTAGTGTGACTCAGTTGGTTGGAGCATTGTCCCTTGCAGTGAAAGGTTGTGTTGGGTTCAATTCCAGGTCAGGGCACTTATCCAGGTTGTGGGTTTCAGTCCTTGGGGCGCATACCATTCAATGTTTCTCTCTCACATCAATGTTTCTCTCTCTCTCTCCCCCTTCCTCTCTCTCTAAAAAAATTAATTAAAAAAAAATGCTAAAGAATATAATTTATTACGTATTGCCAAATTAATTTTTAGTTACTATTGGTGGTTTGTGGGGTGGGGGTAAGGAATTCAGTAAAAGCAGTGTCTCTTTTTTTTAGTATCTTTAAATTTAATTCATGTAGTGCTATAATGTATTTGGAATTCTTTCCTATATACCGTTCCATTTGCTCAGCAAACTACCCTACATAGAGGAAAGGAAGGTGGTCATCACATCACATCACATCACAGATTTAGGGTTAGAACCTAGATTGAAACTCAGGAGGTTGGTTGATTTTTTTTCACCTTTCCATCTCTGATAAACAGGCTGATAAAATAATCCTATTTGGGTAAAAGGTTTCTTTGCTTATTCCTCTTTCCTTCAAGGTTAGATATAGGGCCAGTTTACTTTGGTAGAAAGATTAGCGTTCTGTGGGACATCAAATTTTGCTCAAGGATTTAGTGAAACCTTAGTTTTTTTTTTTTTTTTTGAAAGTCACATTTTTCTTAAATAATCATCTTTTATAGGTTGTAATTCTATTATTATTACAAGTGCATAAAATATGTCATAGTGACTTTGTAAATTATTCACTTAATAAATATTGAATACCTACAATGTTTTTATTGGCTTTCATGTTTGCTAAAATCTCTACCATTTCATATATGATCTGTGATTGATAATCATGTTTAAAAGATACAGTATGCACTCCATTCTGTAATATTGTTTAGTATGGAAAATTACAGAATTAATGAGAATTTCAGAATTGGAGGTAACCTTTCAAGAGCTTCCATAATGTTTAGTCATTTCTGGAGACAAGCTCCTTTTTATCACTTGAAACCCTAATTATGGTAGAGGGGTAAGATAGTCTTCAGAAGGAATATCTTGAGGGCTTTCAGGTAGAGATGTTTGCATTAAAACATTTGAAATGGGCCCTGGTGGGTTTGACTCAGTGGTTAGCATGTCGGCCCTCTGACCAGAGGGTCTTGGGTTCAATTTCCGGTCAAGAGAATGTACCTGGGTTGCAGATTTGATCCTCTGCCCCGGGGTCATGCAGGAGGCAGTCAGTCAATCTGTCTCTCTCATATCAATGTTTCTCTCTTTCTCTTCCTCCCTCCCATCTACTCTATCTAAAAATCAATGGAAAAATAACCTCGGGTGAGGATTAACACACACAAAAAATAATAAAATAGCCCTGGCCGGTTTGGCTCAGCGGTTAGAGCGTCGGCCTGCGGTACAGAGAGACCCGGGTTCGGTTCCCGCTAGGGGGCGCGTACCTCGGTTGCAGTTTGTCCCTGGCCCTGGTTGGTTGTGCAGGTGGCAGCCACTCGATGTGTACCTTTCACGTCGATGGTTCTCTCTCTTCCTCTCTCTCCTTCCCACTCTATCTGAACAAAAAATGGAAAAATGCCCTTGTGTGAGGATTAAAAAAAATAAAAATAATAATAATAATAAAATAAAACTTCTGAAATGGGATGAGGACACTGTTTGCAAATCCTTCTTGGTTAGGATTTTCAGCTCAGTCTGGAGGATTCTTGTTGTGGTACTATTGTTTTAGAGAACTGCCAGGTAACACACAGCAATCTGCAGGGTGAGGTCTTTTCTATTTGTTGGAGCTCATGGTTCTAGCCTAGCATCTTCTTGACAGGTAAGAAACAGGACTGGAAAGATTGTGACTTGTTCGAGGTCAGTAGCTGGCTAGTGTCAGATTTTAGGTATTTGGATTTCTAGGTCTGTTTATTACCTTGCTGTGGTAGCATTTAAATTTGCTGGCAAGTAACTTCATAAAGATTTCTTGTAAGTTTCACTATATCTAGATCTAGTGCTGTCCATTTTGATAACTTCTAACAATAAACCTACTACTGATAACTAATATAATAAGAACTTATGTTAAAATCTGGGCTAGCACTATAATGAGTGAAGAACAAAGTACTGTCAGTTATTTTCCCTATGTTAACAAATATGTACATATATTTTCATTCATTTTTATTGCTGTCTAACATTCCATTCACTGCAATTATTTGATCATTTTATTGTTGATAGGATTGGTGTAGTTGCTACAAATATTTTTAAAGTATAAATATTAGCAAACTTTATTTTCATGTCTTTTATAGTAACATTTATCGTGCTGTGTATCATGTTTTCTTTGATACAGTATTTCTTAGGAGAACAATCCCAGTAAATATTATTTTCCCTTTTATTTGTGATATGAATAATAATAATCACTAATAGTACAATTAATAGCCAGTTTGATTATATGTGTATATATATGAATGTGTGTATACAATAAAAAGTTTGCACGGCGCAAGGTGCATTTGCAGAGTAGGCAAAATTGTTTTGGTCTTCTTTCATCCCTTTTTGTTATTTATCTTTTGTTTCCCCTAGGGTCCAAATTTTCTTCACTAATGTTCACTTCTGGCCTACAATCTAAAATGTTCTGATTCCTTTATTTTCTTCACTCCACCAACAGCTCTTTTCACTAGAAAATTTTCACTGTTGTTCAAATGTGAATGTAAATAAAAGTGAGCATGATGATAGCATTATTTTTTCCTTAATATAATAACTCTCTGATGACAAAAGTATTATGTGCTCATTGAAGATACTAAAGAATAAACAAGTAGGGGGAAAATAGGAATGTCTATCATCATAACATATCTCCAAACAGAGATAGCTATTCTTAAAATGCCGTGTTTAATGTGTTTCTTTTCTGTCTTTTTACACTTAGATATTAGAATTTAAAAGTGGAAGTTGAGGTATCTGTTTGGAAGCATGGGAGAAAGGAGGAGACTTCTAAATCAGTGGCCTTCTCTGACTGTTTTCACCTTGCCTGATCCTCTATGCTCCAGAGCATTTCACAGACACTAGTCCTAGGGGGAATGCTCTTTGAAAATAAGAAGTCAAGAAAGTTTGAAAATACTGCATATCGTATCTTCATGGAGTTTAATAAATTAAAGTTTCTTTCAATTCCTCTGGTAGAACAACTTGTTTTATTTCATTGAACACTTCTCAGTCTTACTTGACCAGAACATGTTGGGACATTTGTTCTGTAGACCTTTGCTATTGCAGTTGGTCCAAAGACCATTGGTATTGGCATCACCTGGGTGTTCATTAGAAATGAAGAATCTCACCTTTTTGGTGTGGCTCAATTGGTTAAGTGTCGTCCCCTGCACTGAGAGGTCACTGTTTTGATTCCTGGTCCAGTACACGTCTAGGTTGTGGGTTCAATCCCCTGACTCCTTTGTTAACACCTCTTACCCCCGCTTCTATTTATTCATACCCAACTACATTCCTTGAATCATACAGCTCGTTCAGGGCTGGCTTTGGAAGGAAGCCTCCTGTGAGAGAGCAAGTTGGAGGAAATAAGGGAGAAAGAGAAGATGGGTTTCTTGGGATAGAAGAGAGCTGGCCTTCCCTCAGAAGGGCCCAGGGGTTTTGGACTGTGTTGATTGGACACCTGAGATCTCATGGAATTGTGTCACTGGTTGCCAGAAGGAGCAAGCAAGTGGGGCTCCATGCACCGCACTCCACTTCAGCGGGATCACCCATGCTCTTATTACACTTTTTATATATTAGGGTTTGTCTTGATTTTTATTTAGTAAAGGTGTTTTGCTATCAAACCTTTATTTTGAAAATCACTGCCCTGTTCCATCCATTTAGCTTCCTGCAACTCAGATTTCTTCTGTTCAGCACAGACTGGGTTAATTGTGACTAGACTTCTTAGTCTCACATTTCAAGGGGAAGAGTTGATAGAAGTTTTCCATAGTGGTGGGGAGAAGCTTTCTCCTTTGAAAAGTCTTTTCTCTTTCCTTCCTTCCCTGTTTCTTTCCTTTCTTCTCACCCTTCTTATTAGACCCTTTGCTCTTTTATTAAGACCAGGGCTGATAAGGCCCAGAGCTACATAATCTGATTAGATGAGTGATGAGCAGTACAATTTATAGATAAAAATATATAAAATTCATAAAGTCATCAAATTGTACTTTTGATAAAATTTAAGAAGACTATTTTATTATCTATGACAATCTGGTTAGCAAATTTGGTGAATATTCCCTGTAATCTTGCCATCTTCCACTTGTATAGGGATTCATTATATATTCATATTTTCAGTGTAAGAAAATAATTGTTTTATTTTTTCAAATATGTATCTTAAATTGTTATGTGTATTCAGTGTGATAATGGAAAGTTAAAAGAAAAGAGCTTTGATGTTTAATAATTTCCTATAATTATGTAGTAGTGTGGTGAAGAGTTTAGACTCTGGAGTTCTCTTTGAGTTTAAATATTGGTTTTACCACTTTACTGTGTGACCTTGTGAAAGATACTAAACTTTTTGAGCCTCATTTTTTTTTTTCATTTGTAAAATAGAGTTGATGATAACATCTACCTGGTAGAGTTGTTGTGAGGATTAGATGAGATAATTCTTGGAAAGTATTTGGCACAGTGCCCACTGTGTAGTAAGTTCTTAAAAAATGTTAGTGAAAAACATTATAAATACACAAGTGGTAATGTAATTCATACAGGGTTATAAAAGTTCACATTGTCAAAAGTGGATTCTAGTGGGGTAACTAACAAAACCCAGAACATAAGAACAAGTGTTTTCTGCCCTGGTAGGGTAGTTCAGTTGGTTTGAGTGTTGTTCTGATACGTTAAGGTTGCAGGTTCAATCTCTGCTCAGGGCACATACAAGAAACAACCATTGAATGAATAAACAAGAGTGAACAACAAATCTCTCTCTTTTTCTTTCCTTCTCCTTCTCTCTCTCTCTGTCCCCTCTGTCTAAAAAAAAAATTAATAAATAAAAGAGTGTTTTATACCAAGAAAATAACATTTCCATAGTAACCTGATGTGGACTGTCACATAAATATTTGGGCCTTATCAGTAAAAGTTCTAACATCAAGAAAGCAGTTTGGGTCCTGGCCAATTAGCTCAATTGATTAGAGCCTCCTTATATGCCAACGTTTCGGGTTTGGTCTTTGATCCCTGGTCAGGGCACATACAAGAAAACAACCAGTGAATGCATAAATAAGTGGAACAACCAATCGGTGTTTCTCTCTCTCTAAATATCAATAAATTTTTTAAAAGTTAAGAAAAAAGTACTTTGATAGTTTAATAGTGGTAAGCAGTGAATATACACATAAGAATTGAAACCGTTAAAGCGGCATTTTTTCTATTTGCTGTAGTTAAAGAGTAAATCTATTTTCAAGGTTGGATTGTCAGAGAGCATGACCATGGTCTTTTTTAGGACACTGTGTCATCTTATTATGTGTCATATTATGCTGTTTCTTCTGCCTTGCACATTGCCATCCTCCACAACTTCTTTCTAATTCTTCTTTTTTTTTTTAATCCTCATCCGAGGACATTTTTCCACCTTTTGTACAGACAGAGTGGGAGGGAGAGAGAGGAAGAGAGAAAGAGGGAAACATCGATGTGAAAGGGACACATCGAGTGGCTGCCACCCGCACGACCAACCAGGGCCGGGGACAAACCGCAACAGAGGTATATGCCCTTAGCGGGAACCGAACCCGGGTCTCTCCGGACCACAGGCGGACGCTCTAACCGCTGAGCCAAACCGGCCAGGGTTTCTTTCTAATTCTTTATGATTGCTTAAGCATCATCTCTCTCAAGAAGCACTACTTTATTCCTAGGCCAGAATAAATGCCCTTTCAATTACTCTTAAAGTGTTCTGTGCAAAATGTGATGATTGTATTTACACAGTGTATTGAAAATATTTTGTTTCTGTTTCTCTTTCCTTCCCTGGACTAATCTTGAGAGTAGTACCATTGATCCTATAATTACATTTCAGTTTAAATTCCCACCTTGCCACTTGTGGCCATATAACCAAAAGACTTTTTGGTGATGATTAAATGTGATGAATGATGTAAGAAAATTAGTACTGTTCTTAATAACAAAGATAATAATTATAAATTATAGTAATAAAAATTCCCAATGCTTGTCACTGTGTCTTACATAGGTATTGATAATGCTTAATTGAACTGCAAAAGCTCTTTATCATTTATCCGATTCTGTTGCTGTTTTAAACTGTTTTCCACTCTTGTTTTTCAAAGAACATTAATGTAATTTCATTTTATGGACTTGTGAGTTGGGTAGAGTATGTTTAATTATGCCCATTTTATTTGATAAAAGAATTTATAATTTATATAAACCCAAGTTACCTTCGTATTTGACTTTCTCAGCATTTTAAAATGTTTTCTTTTGCCATCAATTTAGTGCATAGTTGGAACTGCAGTAGATACAGGATTTTATTGTCTAATGTCCTGCTTACTTGTTTGTTGAATCTTTTTAAAAAAAATGTTTTTATTGATTTTTTTAGAGAGGAAGGGAGGAAGAGAGAGAAACATTGATGTGAGATTGAACATTGATCAGCTGCCTCCTACCGGGAATTGAGCCCACAGCCAGGGCATGTGCCCTGACTGGGAATCAAACTGGGACCTCTCAGTCCATGGGATGATGCTCAGTCCACTGAGTCACACAGGCCGGGCATGTTTGTTGAATCTTAACTAGAGACACAGAGACCATTTAGTGGAAGCCAAGAGACAGTAGTCTAGGCAAGAGACAGTAGTGGCCCAACAAGGATAGGATCAGTGGGAAAGAGAAATGAATGGATTCTAGATATGTTTAGGAGAAAATTTCTAGGATTTAATGGATGGTTGTCTATGGCTATGTGAGGTAAGAGGTTGGATTGTAGAGTGGGAAGAAGCAAAGATGAGTCCCAGATTTTGGCTTAATTAAGTAGCTGGGTAAGTAAATGGTGAAACTTATTGACATGGGGAACAGGAAGAAGGGCAGGTCTAGGGTAAGATAATAGTTCATTTTTATATTTGTTTGATTTCAGGTATCTGAGGGAAATCTGAAAGGGGAGACATATGAGGCAGTTGGATATGTTGGGCTTAAGCTTAGGAAGGAAAGGCTATGAGATGGAGTTCAAGGCATGGGACTGGTAAGACAGATCAGGGAGAGAATAGACTGCATAGCATGAGAAAAGAGAACCTAAGGGCACAAACTTGAGGAACATCACTACTTTTTTTGTGGTGGTAAAAGAGCATCCACAAAGAAAAAAGAAATGGAGGAGAAAGAAAAATTAAATATGGAGTAAGAAGCCCAGGAAAGTGTAATGTTACAGAAACAGAGGGAAAAGAATGTTTTCAAAAGGTAGGGATATGATCAGCCATGTCAAATGGCCTTTACTTCCATCAGCCAGAATCTTAAATATCTCCTTGCATTTTATGTAATGTGTATTTTAACAAATGTGGCATTAAAAATATTTTTTAAGTTGTAACAAGATAATCTTGCATAGTGCTTGTACTAAGCTTTTCATGATAGTTCCATCAGTTCTGAATTATATTTGTAGGTTAAATAAAGAAGGCTAATATTAGTAGATTGGGAGATGAGTAAAATTAGTATCTAACGTTGTTTCTCAAGGAATAGAGCTTTAAATATCTAGTAAAAATCTATCATTAAGCCTGTACTTTCACAGGTAGTTCCTGATTATAGCTATAGAAATTAATAAAAACAAATTGGGTCCATCTTGGTATCAAGAATTTTTTAAGTGGTAAGTAAATGTGCAGTAATTTGAAGACTTGAAAAATTGCATGGTTAATTGTGAAGGAGCATGAATGGTCTGAAGAATCCCTTATCTTTTGTTTTTAGGAGGAGTGAATCATTGCACCCTTTGTGGTTCAGCTAATCAAGCAAATCACAGCATTTTCCATAAATCTGTATTTGGTCTGTAAAGTGATAGTCATCTGTGCAGTACATTGCATTTGATGTGGAGTACTCATGATTCCGATTTTATGAGTGCTGACTAGCAGAGTTATTACTTAGAATATAGGCAATCATTTGAAAATTGTCACTGTTGACCAGACTATATTGAAATTTATTATGTTAGAAAAATTTGCCATTGTTTTATAAAAGTTTTACATGGAAGGTGTGTGCTTACTTTGAAATGGTTATTAAGAACTGATTTGAAATCTAATGCAGGACTTAGACTCTGGTCAAATTAATTTTAATATTATAATCAAAAGATGAGAAAAAAACATCAATTAAAGAGTAAAAGTTAGGCTTCCTTATTATGTTGACATAATTGTTGGCATTTTTACATATTAACTTGGATACTTACTATAATTAGTGTATAAAAGACTGTACATAATGCTCCTGACATTTTGGACTAGGATCAGAAAAATGTTAAGAACAGATGATTTTAACTGTCTACAAAAGTATATGCTTTTTTGTTAATACTCACCTGAGGATATTCTTCCATCAGTTTTTTTTTTTTTAGATAGAGTGGAAGGGAGGGACGTGGGGGGGGGTGGCAGGGGGCGGAGCATGTGCACAAGAGAGAGAAACATCCACGTGAGAGAGACATCAATTGGGCACGACCACAGCCTGGACCCGGAATCGAACCTGCAACCTAGGCAAGTGCCCTTGATTGGGAATTGAACCTGCGATCCTTTGGTGCAAGGGTTGATGCTGTAACCACTGTACCACACTGGCCAGGGCATTCCTGTGTCTTGTTTTATCAATCCAAACATGTAGGACCTTTTGCCATGTACTTGCTCACTCTTCAGGGAATAGAAGTTGACAAGGAATTTAATCAACTAGAAAAGTTAACTAGATGACTCTTTTGGTGTTTATCTTTGTATTACAGTTAGAAATGGAAGTCTGTATAATGACCCTGTTTGAGTGAATGAATCATTTAAAGACGAATTCATTAATTAGTTATTTTTAAAAGTAAGATTTATAGAAAAATTGATATAATTTACTAAAGACAATTTATATCTTAAAATTAAGTAGAAATCTACCAAAAATCTTGACATGTGTGCTGTTGGTCTTTACAAAATGCAAATAGTACCTCATAACAAGATTGAAATGTAAGGTTTTTAGTAGAATTACATTTTCAATTTTTTGTTGAATTATTATTTTATACATGATTTTGTCCTATTTACCATTAAAACAAAGGAAAAAGTATACATTATTTTTAATTTGTTTCTATAGAATGAAGAACCATAAAACCATAGTTTTCTGAAAGTGGGGATGGGGTGGTTATTTAGTAACATAATGGTAAAAGGGAGGTGTATTACTGAAACATCTCTCTCTTCAACAAGAATTAGTGTTTGAAGTCATCACTGCTGTAGCACATTAAAATGAACATATGCCTGATTAATATGTATTGAGTTAAAGGTAATAAGTAGGACATGTTAATGTGAGCTTGAAGATAAAGTTCTGTTGGGAAGACTTTTTAAAAAAAATATGTTTTTATTGATTTTTTTTTTTTAGAGAGAGAGGAAGGGGAAAAGAGAGAGAAATATCAGTGTGAGAGAGAAACATCTATCTGCTGCCTCCTGCATGCCCCCTACTGGGGATGGAGTCTGTGACCCTGGCTTGTGCCCTGACGGGGAATTGAACTGGGACCTCACAGTCCATGAGATGACACTCTATCCACTGAGTCACACCGGCCAGGCTGTTGAGTAGACTTTTTTCCTTTTGTTAGAAACAGTTAGATTTTTTTTAATGACAGGTCCATTTTTAGGCAATTATTTAAAAAGTGTAACAGTTAATAAAAAATATTACTATACTACTTTGTACAAGTATTTACATTAGAATCAGCATTGTTATTTATTCATGGCCTGGCATACTTTTATGTGTGTGTGTGGTCGGTTTGTTATAGGTGGCAAATGGTTATTTTAAAGACTTCTTGAGTGATGAATGGGACTTATATTAATGCTTTTTATTTGAAGTCTTAGATATTGCTAATCCACTGTAGTGGCCTCTACACCAAAATTCAGTGAATGTTAGTGACAATGGCTAGTTAAGAAATGACAGATTTTGATTAAGTAATTATCCTTGTACTAATATTGAAAACTATGGTGTCGATTTAGTGAAATGGAATGGTTTGATAGCTAATTGTATATTAAAATATAACTGCCATTATAGTGGAAATTTATTATTTTCATTTTTTATTTTTTAATAGAGTGGGGAAAGGAGAGAGAGAGAGATAGAAATATCGATGAGAGAGAACATTGATTGGCCGCCTCCTGCATGCCCCACACTGGGAATTGGGGCCCGCAACCTAGGCATGTGCCCTGACCAGGAACTGAACTGGTGACCTCCTGGTGCATGGGATGACACTCAACCACTGAGCCACGCTGGCCGGACTATAGTGGAAATTTAAAAATGAAACCATTCAAATCATTTTCTTTTGCTTTATTAGTGTTTCTAATAATGCCAGAAGTTTTTGCTGACATTGTAGTTAAATCACAGTTTCTGTATTTACTTTGGTGCATGCATATGTAGTTATATAGTAAATTTGCAACCCTTTTCTCTGTAGTTCTATATGTATTAATAATCTCAAATAAAATGAAATAATCTTCTTATTCTGATAGAGAAGAAAAAGCTGGATCACTTACCAGTAACTGGAGTTCTCCTATTGGGTAATCTCCACAGATCCACATTCTTTGAAGTTATTGTGAATGCTTCGAGGACCAAGGAACCGTTGAAATTTCCAATTTCAGGAAGGTAAGCAAGTGCACTGAAGCATGTCTCTAGCATCTTCCAAATCCCATTCCCCCAACTTTCTTACATATACGTCTGTACTGCATGCCCCCTCAGTTCCAGTGGATGTCCATCAGGAAGAATCTCATGCTGGACAGAAGGGCAAGAGAGGTGGATCTGTGAGGGAAAAGACCCAATAGGATAACTCAAGTTACTGGTAAGTAATCTAGTTTTTTCAAGCTTGAGATTTTTTTCTCACATTTTTTCTCTTTAGAAGGACTTCCTTTAATTACAAAGAAAGGAAGTTGTTTGTGATAGCTTATTTTTGTAAGTTTGATGTGGATTATGGAATTTAGTGTATGGACGATAAGTACCTAGTTCTTAAATAGTGTATGAATAAACGTGACATTAATGTCAAAGTGTATGTCATTTACATAATGACTTTTTATCAAAATTATGTTTATTACCTTAAGGTAACTAGTATAATAGTTTTAAAACAATTTAGGAACTCTCTATGTTGAAATATTATGTTAATTCATTAATTTGTGATATTACTTTTATTGAATTAAATACTTAACACTGTAAAATGTATGCTTATGCCAAATTTGGCCAAATTCTTTTGGCATAGTACTGAATAGCAAAAATCATTTTATATAATTTGACCAGCACTTCTTACTGACATAGTTTTCAGTGTGCCTTTTAACTTCACTGGAGGTATATTTGGAAAGTAATTCCAGGCAATTATATTTATCACTTCCTTGTTCATAGTGGATGGGCTTATTGATGTGACGGGTGGCGCAGTTGGTTCAATGTGTGCTCTCTGGTTCCTCGGGTACCAGATAATTTATTCAGCTGGCATGTAAATGTTAGAAATGGACAGAGTTCCTTGCTTCTCATTTCTCTTTCACTCATTCTACACTGTTACAGGTTACCATTTCTGAAAGGACACTGTAGTGATACCCTGCTCTAACTATTTTATAAAATTTCCATCTATGCCCTAGCCGGTTTGGCTCAGCGGGTTAGAGTGTCAGCCTGTGGTCCAGAGAGATGCAGGTTTGGTTCCCGCTAAGGGCACATACCTCGGTTACAGTTTGTCCCCGGCCCTGGTTGGTCGTGAGGGTGGCAGCCACTCGATGTGTCCCTTTCACGTCGATGTTTCTCTCTCTCTCTCTCTCTCTCTTTCCCTCCCACTCTATCTGAACAAAAAAATGGAAAAATGTCCTTGGATGAGGATTAAAAAAAACATTTTCCATCTATTTGCTAGGTACTTAAGGCCTCTCATAATCCAATTCCATTCTGTTTATCTTGCCCTAATTTCTTCAGTTTGGAACTTTTGTTTGTTTGGTCTCACCTGGACACTTGTAATATTTAAATTTTGGTTGGTGCTTTTCCATTTTCTTGAAATGACCTTCTTTTCCATTCTACTTTTCTGTACTTGAAGGTTGTGGTCAAGTTGTACCACTTACATAAATCCTTGTATGCTCTCACCTCTCTGTTACCTCTGTTTCTGTGAGTGGAAACATGAGATTGCTGTTAGGACTGAGTTAATTCATGGAATGTACTTAGGACAGTGCCTAGCAGCACATAGTAAACACTCCTCTTGTTAGCTGTTATTTCATTGTAGATTGATTTTAAACACTTCTGTGATTAGAGATATAATTCTTATCCATATGACACAGTTTTGCCTTTAAATATTAGTTTCAGGTTATATTGCTGTTTCTTTTGAAATAAAACTCAAGCTGATTTGTACGTTCTTTGAGAACAAGACAAGGATAGAATTTTTTTTTTTTTTTAGTGGTACGTGCCCCTAGCAGGAACCAAACCCTGGACTCTTTGGTCCACAGGCCAATGCTCAACTGCTGAGCCAAACTGGCCAGGGCAAGGATAGAATTTTTTTAAAAATATTTTTTCTTTATTTATTTTAGAGAGAGAGGAAGGGAGAGGGAGAGAGAGAAACATTGATGAGAGAGAACATCGATTGGCCTCCTCCTGCATGCTCCCCACTGGGGATTGGGCCCACAACCTGGGCAAGTGCCCTGACTGGGAATCAAACCGGTGACCTCTTTGTATATGGGTCATCGCTTAACCACTGAGCCACTCCGGCTGGGCAGGATTTTTTTTAATCCTCACCCAAAGATATGCTCATTGATTTTGGAGAGAGGTAGGGAGAAGGAAGAGGGGGAAGAAAGGGGGTGAGAGAATAGGAGGGGAGGAAGGGAGGGACCGGTGATGGTGGTGGGGGAGACAGAGAGAGATATGAGAGAGCACATATATACCCTGATCAGAGATCAAAGCTTCAACCTAGTTATGTGCCCTTACTGGATAGTGAACCTGCTACCTTTCCATACACAGGGATTCTCCAACCAAGCCACCAGCCAGTACATCAAGGATAGGATTTTATTGTCTTTATCTTATATAGTTCCTAACATCAGTGACTGAGATTAAATTGTATCCACTGAAAAACTTTTTTTTTTTTTTTTTTTATCCTCACCCGAGGATATTTTTCCATTTTTTGTACAGATAGAGTGGGAGGGAGAGAGAGGAAGGAGAGAGAGAGAGAAACATTGACGTGAAGGGACACATCGAGTGGCTGCCACCCGCACGACCAACCAGGGCCGGGGACAAACTGCAACCGAAGTACGTGTCCTTAGCGGGAACCGAACCCAGGTCTCTCCGGACCGCAGGCCGACGCTCTAACCGCTGAGCCAAACTGGCCAGGGCTGAAAAACTTTTTTTAATCTAAATTCACAAATATACTTAACAGTTTTTTCACTTATAAACAGGTTTATTTGGCTTATCAGTGCTACTCATACTGTATGTT